GACTCCAGATTTTAAATCAAGACCGGTAAAGACCACCACTGATACAGTATGTCACCACTCAGGTCATTACAATGACTAGAACGAAAAACGCCCCTTTCTTAAACAACAAATAGCTTCAATTAATTTATAGTTTGGTTGAACCATTAGGAACTCATCTGTAAAAAGTCAGGCAAAATAAATCACATGTCAGTGTACAGCTCACAGTCATTTTATGAATGAGACACCTACCATTAGGTCACTGAATGTTTTGACTAATCTTTGGAAGTCTTAAAAAGTATGTTATGGTGCTGTGTCGCTGACGCTTTAATTTAAAAGCAAACTTTACTTAAAAAAGAGAGCTCTTGTACTTTGTTTACACTCATGTTGGGTTTTTTCATAAATAGATTTTGGTCTTGGTCTTGACTTGGTATTGGTTAGTGTGGTATTGACAACAACACTAGATTTAGATGGGGCCAACTGCCCCTACGGAAGAAGTATAGTTGACAGAAGTTGCATGATTGTTATCTATTCAAATGTCTTTAACAACAGATGAAACTTAACTGGACCTTCCTTGATTATTTTTGTTACAAGAATAACAAACATGTTTAATATTGTGAAATAGTGGCAGTTTAATTGTGGCATCAAAACTAAGGTTAAGAAATAAAGAAAGTGATGTCGGAAAAAAAAGTACTATATATATATTATAGATATAACAGAAGGAAGTTAAGTTTTGTGACTTTATCCAGATAAAATAAATCATCATGGATTCATGTGTCTTGGATGAAAGTGTTGGTTTAATACGTACTGTACATCCACCCCAACCTAATCCTGATGTGAACATTCTGGCTGTTACTATCGCTTCTGACTCCCCTCTATGCTTTGCTCCTGTCTTTGTTTCTTCAGCCACTAGGCTAGCTGCTGTAATGTACATTTCCTCTAAGGCTTGACAGCATGTCTCCACCTTCTCACATTATACAAAAGTGAAGCCAAAATACATAATAAGAATGAACTAAAATGACAGAAATCGTGTTTGAGGTGTACTTTGATTTTGTAGTTTCAATAATTGATTGTATAAAAGACGGATGACACCACAGCTCCCTGAAAGTGAAGCCAAATCACACAAAGCACATTTAGAGCTCCACCTACTGACTGGCTGCAGTATAGGTCATAAGGTATAGGTCAACAGAGGTGTAATCTGGGGAACGAGCTGGCTTTGTGTAACGTCAGAACTAGTGAGGCGGAACGGCACTGTGTCTTTGTACATGCATGAGTGTATGTGTATGTGGAGCTCCCGCTGTGTGCTTACAAGCTGTGTCTCTCGCGCTTCTGCAACACCATCATGCAATGTGAATTCACACACTAGGACACCAATATTATGCACTATTGGATGCAATGTGTTAAGAACAAAGGCATACTCACGGCGCTGTTGCGAAACAGCAATCTGTACGCGGCTTGTTTGGGCTGTTCCAGCCTGATATGCATGACAGAGGCAGAGCAGCCAGCTAGGAGGTATATTGCCATACTGCCACATAAATATGCTCCTAATAACAACTGATAACAAGCATATAATGGACTGAACTGGTTGACTTGCTGTGAGAAAAAAAAAACAAGGGCCCAGAATAGAACCCTGAGGAATGCCAGTAGTGATGTTAGAAAATTCAGACAAAGAAACTCTTGGGGTTACACTGTACATGTGGTACTTGAGGTAGGATGACGATGGGAGAGTGCAGAGCCTGAGATAGACTGTTTGTTTTTGGAGGGATGAGAGGATGATCTGGTGGTTCAGTGTGTCAAAAGCCGCCAAAATGTCCAGCAGAATCCAAATGGAGGAGAGGTAGGCTGCTTGAGCAGTGTGGAGTGCACTAAAATCAGTTTAGTGCCCCTTTGGGTGAAGAATCTAAACACTTCTTCCACCACTGGATATCATGTGCTCTAGAACATGTGGGATGTAGACAGTGCATAGACAGAGAGGATGATATTATTTTCCTGTTATCCAGAGTTTAGCGGTGCAGGTCAGAGTGTAAATAGATGGGTGTGAAACTGTTGTCATCAGGCTGGTGTGAGGTTTTAAGTGATAGGTTTTATTTTATAGCGTGGGGTATCTCAGTGCGACACCACCCTTGCTGTGGGCCTCCAGGACAGGACTTGTCCACCTTGTGGTGAAAGGAAAGCGCTCAGTGGGGGATTGTGAGCATAATTACAGCACTTTTGCCTCATTAGGAGTGAGGAGGCGTGACCCTGCCTGCAGGTCTGACAGCTGAACCACACCATGGTGGTGCTGAGAGATGATCTCCACTCAGAGGAGGAGGGGGTTCTAAGTGTTAGAGGAGAGCAGTATGAGGCCTGTTTGATTAGTTGTGTCCTATGGTTGTAGATCTATTTAGAATTATTTTTTATGTGACTAAAGTAGTGATACCACAGTGTAAAACTACCCAACACTATCTTATTCTAGTACAGAAGTGTACTTGCCTCAAAGGTATTTATTAACAAGACACTTGTCCCCTGTGAGTTTTGTGTGTTTAGATATTATTATTTGATTATTAATTCATGGGGAGCAGGACATCAAATCTGAATAGCACAGCCCACGGATAAATCAGATGGGTCAAAAGATGATCTAAGGTATTTACTTAAAATATGTTTTCTTAAATGTTCATAATTTTTTGCTTTTCTCTATCAAATTCATTATTTGTGACGTATTTGACACATTAATCTCTTAATCCTCTAAAATGACAAAAAATAATTCAATATGAGACGACTTTACCTTCTTTAGATTAAAATACATAAAAATATAAAATACTTTCACACTTTCAACCTGTTAAAGTTCTACGATTCTTTCTGACAAATCCAATAATAAAAAATCACTAAAAGCTCAAGGTTGACCGGAAACTGCCTTAACAAATGAATTCTTACAAAATCATGTGGAATCCAAAACAGCAGAGGAAATCACAGATATCTAAAACTCCACAGGAAACAGACAAATAGCTTTATTACCTTATCACAAGATCAAAACAAAATAATTTAATGTTTTGGGTAAAAAAAAAAAAAAACACTAATAGAAGAACAGAAAAAAACACAGAATCCATCTGAGATTTGTGCAGAATCAAGTTAACCTCGTATTGGGTTTTCTTTGACCCAAACTGATTAAATGTTGTCCCAGTTCTCAAAAGTGTGTTACCATGTAATTTTATTGGGATTTTCTTTTATTTCAGAGTCGGAACATTTAACATTTAGTCTGGCCCTTAAATTTTTTTTTTTGGTTTTCATAAAATCATCATCCGAAAGGCAATAATTAACTAAGGTAATTAAGGTTTCAGGTAGGCCTAAATGCAGTAGAGTACAACAATTTATTTTCAGCTGAAATCCAGGCCAACTGAAGAACAAATATAAGTAAAAGTACCTTAAATGTACACAAGTATTATATTATCAGGTAATATACTTTCCACAAGATTTTTTCCCTGAAGTGATATACTATGTAGAAGAAAACTCAACCAAATGCAAATCCATGTCCACAGTTAAACCTTTCAAAATAAGACTATTTTTTTAAGGAGTTCCCTCCCTCGGGGGATGGATGTCCTAAGAGAAGACACAACCCCAAACCAAATGATGAAATTAAATGAAATGGCTTACAAAGCTCCTCGGCCATTCACCACACAAACAAACATACAAACAAAAACAGTATGTTCAGTTTTTTTTCTTCTTTTGACTGACGAGCTGCTAATCTATCAGTCAGGGTGGGTCTTGTTCTTTTTTGTCCAGCGCGTCGCTTGGTTGTCTGAGTCAGGATGGAGAGATGAGGACGGGGCATCCCACTCACCCTCTGCACGGCCGGAGACACTGCTGCGCTGCTGTCATGGCAACAGCAGCAGTCACCACTGCCAGCATGGGCCTATAATGCACAGGCCAGGAGGAGTCACACACGCACATGCACACAATGAGAGCACGACATATCACAAGCAGAAAACTAAAAATACAGATCTTTGTCTGCACGTGTGCATTTTTTCATTTTCTTAACTGATGAAAGTTGGGATAAGATTAACAAAGGAAACAAATATGAACCATTCAGGTTTCTTTTTTTATCCTGTTTCTCTTTTTTTCCCTTAAGGCTACTGGGACAGTTGTATAGTTGTAGCCTTTAAAGATCTCCTTAATCTTAAACCAAGAAACGAGTTTCATCATAATATTGCTCTTAAAGCATGTTAACTTTTGTTCAACTATTTTTTATATAATTTTTACATTAACTTTGCAGTTACACAATCATTGTAAAGATAGTTTCCCTTTAAACAAAATGAATCTGAGCTACAGGATTAGATAACAGCAGGAAGACATAGTAGAAATGTCTTTGAGGATATCTTATTTTGAAGATATCTTTTATTTGTCTCATGAGACTAACTAGGTTATACATTACCAACATAAGGTTAATCAATGGGACACATCATCATTTTAAAAAGGAAAAAATAGAAAAGGGTAAAAACAAAGTGTTGCGTGGTAAAGGGGGAAACTGTTGTCCGTGTTTTTCTAGCATTTTCTTCAGACAGCATCAAACAAATTTCTGCCCCCACCCTCTCTCACCCTCCACGTCTCCAAATCGGACATTTTCTCTCTACGGCTGCTACTTGCAAAGCGCACGCTCTGCTGTAAATTAAGACTGTAATGATGCAGATGTGCTTTGTGTGTTTTTATGGGATACGCACAGACAGAGTGAGTGCAGTGCGGATCACATTCAAACAGGTGTGAGGAGCAGAAACAATCCCAGGTGGCGCATGTTGATCGGATATGTGGCTGTGCTGGAGCTCATTGTGAGCCTTTTTTTTTAAAGGGTTGAGCAACCTGCATCTGAAAATAGTGTATACTGTTGGAAAGTAGGTCGGTCGGAACTGAGAGCGACGTTTGTTTCCACGCTTTTGTCTGTTCTTTGTTGTTTAGCGAGGACTGTGTGTTTTTTTTTTCCTCTACCCTTTTACGCACAGGTGGGAGATACCCGCTCGGCGTACTGTAGGACAGCCCCCCTCTCTGCTCCTCAGCTGAGGATGTGAGGAAGTGACATTTTTCAGCGCTGCGGTTCGGGACAGCACTGCTCCTCTGCAAACAGGTGTGCTGCCGTCCGGGTCACTTCGGCTGGGGGAAAGCATCACGGAGAGGCAGCGTCCCAGAACCAGAACCAGAAAATATCCAGGACGCGGGACAGCGGGGACCAGCGGAGGCGAATCAGCCCGTTCAAGTATTTTCTTTATTAGCCTGGGCTATTTAAACAGAGAGAGAGGCAGAGAGAGAGAAGGAGAGAGAGAGAGAGAGAGAGAGAGAGAGCGAGAGCAAGAGTGGGGGAGAGCAAGAGTGGGGGAGAGGGAGCGATGGCAACGAAAAAGGCGTGCGTGGATGCGACCAAAAGGAGCCGGAGCCCGGTCGTGTTGGAGGCGGAGATGTTCAGTGAATTTCAGGACTGGTGTCTCCGGACTTATGGAGACTCCGGTAAAACAAAGACCGTCACCCGGAGAAAATACAACAAAATCATGCAGACACTGTTGCAGAACGACGAGACGGACGGCGTGTATATCGACAACAGCCACATTAACGCCAAATTCAAATTCTGGGTGAAGTCGAAAGGATTTCAGGTCGGGACCAACGTGTTAGGAGAGCACAACAAGAAAGGAGCTCCAGGGAAACCCGTGCTATATGTCCCGGTCAAGTCAACGGTAAAGTGTCTGCGTGCATATGTATGTGTGTGTGTGTGTGTGTGTGTGTGTGTGTGTGTGTGTGTGTGTGTGTGTGTGTGAGAGAGAGAGACAGAACGTGCGTGAAGTTCACGCGCATGAGATGTCCCGTTACCGCCTATAAGTTCTCTCATTATCTCAGCTCGCACACGCATCAGTCACGTGAATTACAACAATAACTTATGAATGTTTTGTGGTCCCGGCTCGCCCTCGACTCTCCTCATAAAGCTTCACTTTGTCCACATCCCAACCCCGAGCAGCCCTACTCTCATCCCTTGCTGCCATAGCAACGCCGGTGCCTCCTGGCAATCGCGATTGTAAAAGGTAGACTATCATGATCAGACATCTCGCCAGTGAGGTTGAAGTCCTGTCAGCGGCACGCGGCCGGCCGCAAAACATGAGATAATTGACTATTGACAACATTTAGTTTGAACAGTATACTGTTCAGGTCTCGTGGAGACCGATATGTGATGCTGTGCGCGCGCACGTGGATGCAACGGCATGTTCGTGGTGGGTCGGGTATGTCAGGCTACTCCCGCGTGCTCTTTGATGGACCTCGGTCTATTAACGCCAACAAAGACGGCGGCAGGCCCTCCTGTCTGTGGTGGGATCAGCAGGATTGATTGTAAGCGAATTTGTCAAAGGGCACGCGCCCTCACTGTCCCATCTGAACCGAGCAAAACGGAGCGTGTCCGTGCGTCGACAAGAATCATTTGTCTTTCCTTGAGATACAACACAAAGGGTCTAAAAATACTCAAATGTCCGTGTTTTAATTGAGAATATGATTGTGTGTCAGACAGTCTGAGTCTTAGTGTTCGCACCCCACTTTTCATTGTCCTGGGCGGGATGCGGATCGGCTCGCAGGCACTCGCTGATGGTTGCTCTGGCAACACCTGTGTGGTCCAGGATAGTCTGCCTCTGCCGCATTTCATTGTGCACCTTCAGACATTAAGCCCTATGAGCTCTTTTAAATCTGTTTTTGCAAGATAAATATCTCAAAACGATTTTCTACATTTGATGAGGGAGGAAGCAGCTGTGCGTAATTGGTGACCACGTGAGGGGCTGTGGCGGAAACAAAAGGGTTTGCACGGGACTGATAGCGACATACGCCCACAGTTAGAGCTCAGACTTCACTTCTGCATGTATCTGGGTGGGGGGGGGGGGGGTGATGGAAGTGAGGTGACCGCACGAGCCGCTGAACGTCACTCAGCTGCAGGTGCATTGAGGGTTAAACCACACACTCTGCTTTTTTTTTAACGGTTTGTGAAGATAAACATGAACATGGTGAACTGTCAGCAGTGCAACCAGTAGCTGTCTCTGTGCACGGGTGTCCACAGTGTACAGAGCCTGCTGTGACAGTGGGGAGAAAACCACCATTTTAAAGAAGTGCCTTCAGGGAATAACCCCCCACCCACCCCACCCCCCACCCCCACCCGGCTCACCGCCTTGCTGGGATAGAGTCTCTCTGGACCCTTAAAGAGTGGAGACCCTTTTTTTGTTTATAACTAACTGGAGGAGTTTTTGGCACCGATTGCAGATGAAATCCTTTGATTTAGGTTGAATAGCGCTGATCCCTCCACAGGTGCTGTACCTGTGTGAATACTCAATTTAGATTCAGGCCCTGAGCCTTTACAAAACTCCTCTAATCTCTACTCAATATTAGGTTTCCCTCTGGGCAAGAGGGCAGGTGTGATGTGTGTCTGCAGGTGCAGATGCTGCCTGAACGCTTTGTTGATTAGCTTTTTTCTGCATTTGTTGTCATTGATTTCTGAATTTAACGTCTTAGGTGTTCTTTTGTCTCCAGTTAGTTTTATTTATCTCTAAGAAATAAACAAAATTATTCTCTGAGGTCTGATTGAACCATCAGAGAGGCTGAAAAAGTCTAATTTGTTTATCGCAGAGGAGTGCACACTCACTTTGTAGCTTGGGGTGGGGGGGGGAACCTCCCCTTGACTCAGCTCCACTTGGGAAATTTAAACAACAAACAAATAATCAGGCAACACAAGCAGCTTCTAATGATGAGTCAGAGGAAACAAATCAAACTATATGCATGTGACTATTAGAAAGCAAGATTCACTATCACAGGTTTTATAAATAGGCCGTCCTGGGCCAGTGGAGAAGTGACACACACACGGGCAGACATACACATATAATGGTCAGTGGCTCCTCGAGCGGCTGCAGGGTGGGGGGGGGGGGGCGTGTCTCTGAAGCATTGGATCCTCCTGCAGCTGCTCCCAGGGTGTGCCAAGTTTGTGTACGGGGGCAGGCAGGGGGCTAAATGCCGGGCGGCTGGGTGGGGGAGGAGTGGATGGAGGATGATGTGCAGACAGAGAAGGTCTCTTCTGTGTGTCAGTAAAGCACACAAGGCGGCTTCAGTGTGTGACGGGACAGACAGGCAGGGCACAGACACACTGACTCAGTGTCGATCTTTTTTTCAAGCAGTACAGAGATTTGTTTTCCGTTTATGTTTTTCAGTCCTCCCGCTCGTGTTGTCTCGCCCTCTTTTTTCTGCTGCTCAGAGAATCCAGCAGCCCTCAGTGTTGGAGATGCTGCCTCGTTTAGCCTTCATTATGTCCTGATTAGAGGACACCACAGAGGAGGAGGAAAGCAGCACCACAAACAGACTCAGAATCGAACACAAGTCTTCCCTTTGACGAGTGCATCCCATTTTTTTTAAAGAGACGCTTAAACGCCCAGTGTGTTTCCCCTTGGCTGACATGAGCATTGTACTGAAAAAAATTGAAGTACTGTGGGCTGTTGCTTTTTGTTACCATGCCAACTGAAATCTGTAAATATCTCTGTTCCTTTCTCCCAACAGAGTTTGGTGGACTTGGTGCTCTCACATACACATTTATGTATAGATATATATATATATATACATGTAACAGTTCATTTCATATGATGCCTAAAAAGTGAGAGTGGATTCAACCATGCAGCAGGTGCTACTGCATCCACATCAGCTTGTGCAAAGGTTTATATTTCAACTCCACTGATTGGTAAAAAAAACAACTAATATTTACATACCATTAGACCAAAATTCAATACGTATCTTAAAGCTGAAATTTAAGGTTCCAAAGTCAACTAGCAAGAACTTAATTTCTCAAAGTTGATCTTAGCATTTGAATGCAACATCTGTAGGAGACAGAAAATATTTATGGGAAGATTTCTGGTTTTTGTTTGTTCTCTGTAGTTTTGACCAATCACATTTGGAAAAGGAAAACAGTGTGTATAACCCTATTCACACATGCACAAAACTTCCTCAGTTTTCCTGAACTTTAAAGGGTGAGCTGCATGTGTGAACACAAACTCAATTTCCCTCTGATTTTATCAGGATCGTTAAAACTTCTGCCTCAGTAAACGCAGCAGGTAATGTTCAAGAAAATTCACAGCAGGCAAGTTTGAGGGGGGGGGGGGTGACGTTTATACTGTTTTATATTTTCTGCCCTCCAGTATGTATTAACCGCTCATTCCTTAATACTGTCAATACGTCCAATAACAGAGAGCATTGATATATACATGTAAAGGCACTAACTGTCACCATAGCTCGGTCTCTAATTTTCTATCAGCCATTTCTAGAACTTTTCAGGAGAGCATGTGTAAAATCAATCAAAAAAATCATAAAAATAGTACGGATAGATGGATGATAATACATGGGCAATAGAAGAAAATATTTCTGTTAAAAAAAGGAAAGGAGGAAATCCTGGAAGCCGTGAGCTATCGTCAACTGATGACTTTGCTTTTTCTTAATCTCCTTAAACAAACAACATGGAAGTATGAACACACTTAATAGTCCAGTTGTGGATTGTCGTTTCTCTATTCTTGCAATGCAAATTGCTTGTCAGACTGTGAACAATGACCAGAGAACTAAAAAAGGAAGTCTCATTCTGGATATCGGTTATCTGTTATGTATGCTCATAAATACTGTCTGAGCACCAGAGGCTTCTGCATATGATGATAGCAGATTTTAGTTCAGAGCTTGACAGCATGCAAAGATATTTATTTGACGATCATAGAGGACTGATGGTACAAGAAAGAATCAATCTCTTGTAGAGCAGAACCAAAGAAATGTAATAAAACATACTCAAAACATTGTAAAGTTAATCATAATAAATGTAGATTATTTTCGATTTATGATCCATCAACTTTTATTGCGGCTCCATTGTCAACTATTTTGTAGATTTCACAATCATTTGAGGCATTTTTCTCCCAGCAAAATGAATCGTTCCAGCATCCTAAATGTGAGCATTCGATTCTTTTCTTCGCCTTGTACAGTATGATAGTGAACTGGATTCTTTGACTTTTTGACTGTTCATCATATCAAATTAGAATTTCTGAGATGAAACCACGTTTTTTTCTCGCTGTGTATTCTGATATTTATCAACAGAATGAATAATTGATTAATGACTATAATTGGCAGATAAATTAATGATGAATATAATGGTTAGTTGCAGCCTTAAAGTGACAGGACAGAAACACATGAAACATGACTGCTGAAGAAATAGAGGATTCAATCGTGCTTTCATTCTTCTAAACACAGGTTTGACTCAGGACGTCCTCTCCTCTGACAGAAATCACAAAGTACCCTTTATACTCTGCTTTTTTGGTAAAATGGGACCTTAATGTTTGTGTGTCACGGTCAGCTGGGAAGAGGAACATCATCATTATTATCTGATTAATTAGTCCACATTTCCCCTGAGAGCTCCTCTTGGGTGGAAGGGCCACAGAGTCAAAAGAATACGGGCCCTATTATTCTGCTACATTTGCATTAATGCTACTAAAGCACAGTGGAGCTTCCTGCTTTTTGTCCTGTTTGGGTTATTATTTTGTTCAACCACCCCCCTCCTGCACTGAGCCAAACATGTGCTCACACTCATGGGTTAAAACTGCAAATACTCACCAGTCCGGACAAGAATTTACCTGTGTGTGTGTGCGCGTGTGTGTGTGCGTGTGTGTGTTTGGCTGTAATTGACACGTTCATCAAGTGTGTAAAGGGGAGATGTGTGTGTGTGTGTGTGTGTGTGTGTGTGTTTGGTCCCAGAGCACAAATCTTTGTTAAACGAGAGTCAAACGGAAACTCATAAAGAAATTAGTTTGAGTCAATGTGTGTTCATTTCTTATAAACGGGTGATGAAATCCGCCAAATTGCATGCATGTGGTAGTTTTGTGCATAATTGTGTGTGTGTGTGCTCGTTGAAAGAGGGGGTCGCTGATCGCATGCTCTGTGTTTCCTCCCTTCAGCACCCTCTCTGTTGCCATGGAGAGACCGTTCTTTGCTTTCCCATAGGAGGAGAAATTAACACCATTTTTAACTGGCCCGGGGGCCTCCCCCCTGTGTGGGAGATAGTCTGAGTTCTGCTGCTGTGCACACACGCACACACGCACACACGCACACACGCACACACGCAGACTCTTTAAGACTATGATAATCTTCCTACCACACCACTACAGTAATTTTTAATACCTTTCCGAGGCCGACGTTTAACGAAGTGGGACAGTATGATAATAGCCTGAAAATGGCAAAATGGACTCTAGGACGTGATGATGTATGTGCGAGTCCTTGTGTGTTTTATGTGTGTGTGTGTGTGTGTGTGTGTGTGTGTGTGTGTGTCATTTACCCTGTCATTTGAGTCAGTGACTGGAACGTCAACAGTGCTAGGCCGCCGGGCCACTGGGACCGTCTGTGTCTCCGGCTCGGTGGGATATTGGGGATGTCACACACTCTATCAAATAAAGCTCATCATGGGGAGCAGCAGAGAGACGACACACGCACACACACACACACACACACACACACACACACATTAAGGGACATGGGACAGAGAGGAAGAGCTCAGAGCACCTAATGTGGGTTTAATGACAGGGTTTTATAATTGAGGCAGAGAGGAGGATGATCATGAAAAGAGAAGAAATAGGAGGGGATGGATTTTATTTAAAAGAATGGGGACACTGGAGGTAATAGTCTTTCTCATCCCAGTTTTTCTTTTGTCGCTGTCTTCCCCTTGGAGCACGCGCACACACACACACTCACACACACGCACACTCTTTCACACACACACATACACTCAAGACACAGGGATTGCCCCATTTATGTGTCCATTAGCCAGTTGATAGATTTACAGAGGGGAGATGGGGCTTTAAAAGATGACCTGTTGTCACATCTGCAGTGAGATAATCTGAGTCATGAGTACTGTTGACACAGCCACAGTTGCCGCTGCGCACACACATGCACACACATAAAATATCCTGGCACAACTTAAGCTACTTATGTGCAGCCACCTTCCAAAAAAAAAAAAAAAATGCACACCATCTTCTTGTACGTTGCACCTTTGACTTTTACAGTAACGTGCAAAGCTATATTGAAATTTTGGACAAATATTTCTCCATCAGTGGTGATTTCTTGCAGGATGCATCTTTTTCCATCTTCGCCGGCCTGTCTTTGTGACCCAGCTGCTTCTCCCATGAACCCCCTCCTCCTTATGACCTGCCTGTGTGCAGGACTGCTCCTCTCTCCCCTCAGCGACTCTCTGCTACACTGTGTGTCTGTGTGTGTTTCGGTGTGTGTGTGTGAGACTGCCAGCGGGGGTGGGGGCAGCCGACTCAACCCCTCCAGTCTCCTAGCAACAGAGCGGTTTGGTGCGGGACAGGGAGAGCACACAGGGGATGGGGGCTGGTTGTACAGTGGCAGGGGAGAGCAAAGTCCTCCAGGATTAAAAAGATAGAGAGAAGGAGGAAAGGAGGACAAGAAGGAGGAGGAAAGGAGAGAGTTTTCTGTGTTGTTGCCGATTAGGGATGCTGACATGTCTCCTTTTGCTCTTTAAAATGACACGCTGCAGCTGATGAGACCAAATATGTAACGCGCAGTTCAACAGCTGTTCTCCTCCGAGATGCTTCAGCTATACAAGCTCTGCCCGGTAGACATGTAGTGCACTTAAACACACAAGGCACACACAAACACACACACACACACACACACTCGGAGCATGTGGTGTTTTGGGGGTGAATATTTAACTCCCTGTTGAGTTGTGTTTGGAAAGTAAAGAGCTTATCTGTGCTGAGGAGCTCAAGAAGGCCTCAGGTGGAAGGTGGGACGTTGGAAGAAATGCTGCCATCCCTCAAAGTTTTCACTTGAGGAGTTGTAGAACACAATAGAGGAGAATAATTAATTGATTTTTATATCAATCAGCTTTTTTTTTGGCTCCTTTATCCCTCATTAGAGTCATTTTGAAAGCAAAAATGCAAACTGTTCCTTTGTTTCAGTGTCTTGAAGCTGTAGGTTTGTATTTATGTCTGTTTTTGTTTTGCTATGTCCAAATTTACTCACTAAATTAAACCAATTACAATTTTAGTGTAGTCTACATGTTATTATTTTAATAAACTATATACTGGCCTTGAAATCTCCCACAAAGTGTTGTGTGAAGCAATAGAGATGTTACAATTCCATTTTTCTCCCCAATCCTGAGTCTGATATCTCAACATTTAATGTCAAACTTCAAAAAAAAATCTTAAAATGGTGGGAAAAACTCTGAAAGCTGTCATTTTGCTAGCTTTGACATGCATTAAACTCTCTGCTAGAACCCAAGCAGCAAACTCTGATGTTTAAAGATTCAAAAGATGAAGCCAATGTGGTAGTGCAAAACTACTGCAGTTCCTGGAGTGTCCACTTGAGGCTGGCTCCAAAAGCAAACAAATCCCATTAGGTCCAATATCAAAATATCAATTTTTAAAGCAGAAATAAATATATATACAGACTGGTTCTTAAAACAGTTTTTTTTCTCTAAAGCTTATGTCTTTATTTGTTAAATTGTGTTGGGGTTAAATACTTTTTACAGGGTTAGGGTTTTGTTATTTTAAGGCTAGAAATATGCACACTAAAAATAACTTGTTGGAGCCAAATATCCTCATTCCTAATTATTTGTTAACTTAATTATACAAGTTCACAAAAGTTGAGAAAGTTTGCATTGGAGCTGAAAGTCAGATTACGGAGAACTATTTTTCTCTAAACAAGCAGTTATGAGATTGAATGTGACGTTTTTCTGATATCGATTCAGAAAACAAAATCTGTAAGAAAAAATGAATAGCTGCAGCCCTACCTCCAGGTTGAACACTGCTGGGTTAAAAACATGAGGGTTTCCTTGAGGTGGGAGAATGCACTCCCTGCAGAATATTTTGTGTGTGTTTGGATATTATGTTGGGGTTGAATTCAGCGGAGGATGCAGCAGCGGTGTGACTGCACTGCACACCCCACAGTTGTATGAGATTATCTAAATCCAGCGTGAATGGACCTGACACCATTGTCCCAACAGCAGCAGCAGCAGCAGCAGCAGCAGCAGAGGTGGTGATGATGTCACTGGGGGTGCGATAGATTACAGCTGTGATGATGAGGTGAAAGATCACTATTATTTCATTTATTATCATTACATTTAGCCCGCTGACAGGAGAGAGAGGATGAATGGAGAGAGAGAGAGGAGAGGGAGAAAGAGAGGGAGAGAGGGCCGGATTAAAACAAACCCGCTCTGTGAGCTGGTTTTAGTTGCCATGGCAACGATCATTACCTCGCACTTGGGAGAGCAGGAGCAAGGAGAGAGAAAAGGAGGAGGGGGGGGGGGTTAGAGGAAGGCAGGAAGGAAAGAAAGAAAGACGGGACGGAGGTACGGGATGAAGACATGCAGGGAAGCAGGAGAGAGGGAGCATGTGGGGGGAAAACAAGAGAAATTCAAATGTCAGATCCCAGGAACAGTGCAGAAATGTCATGAAGAAGAAAAGGAGGGAGGAGGGGTGTGTGATTTCTCAATGCCAGGGGGACAACTTTTTGATCTTGGGACCCTCCTCTCACTCAAACAAGAGAAAGATCACACCCCAACTCAAACACCATCTCCAGTAAATGTCACAGCCGGTGTCATATCTGCATGGAAGAGGTGAAAAAAATAAATTACCTAAATCCTTTTTTTTTTTCCATTATAAGTTTGCAGAGGCACTTTCAAATATCAGCAGGTGCAGGAAACTGAAAACAAAAACTGATGGTAGTGTTAATGTTTTTATAAAGAAGGAACTACTTGGACAAAAAAGATGGATGCAAAAATGGTAGGAAAGCCCCATGTGGTGTTGTGGATGGAGGCTGTTGTCCTAGCGATCCCACTTGTACGGCGTGTCACATGACCCCTTGCCCAGCACACCTGCCCGGGAGAAATCAGTGGCAGTTTCTATGGTGACAGGGTCAGCAGCGTATAGAGGTGGGGGTAGGGGGGAGTGTTGGGCCTGCACTGTGTCTGTGGTGTTATTTTTAAACATTGCAGATGTGAGGTGATGGTTGGAGACCGAGCCGGGCCGAGACTTCTCCACCTGAGACATATATTTAAAGACTGAGTGACGGCTGGACAGAAAGCAATTTTTCTTTGAATTAAGTGATGATTTGGAAACCTTGTGCGGTGTGTATGTTTCCATATGATCCATGACTCATGTGCCTAAAAGATCTGTCTCACGTCACATGTTTGCAGGAATCTCCATCTGCAGCTACAAAATTTCCTCTGCTGAAGATGACACAAACATGTTTTCTCTGTGTAACCGAGGTGGGACATTAAGCTAAGCCCCCCTTCTCTCTTTTTGTTTCAGTGTTCAGATGGGAATTCAGCCCAGGACAACTCTTCCCTGAAGCGTGTAGCCGTGGTGGAAGACTTCTTCGACATCATTTATGCCATGCATGTGGAGATGGGTGCAGACCCCGGCAGAGCGCCCAAACATGCAGGACAGAAGAAGACCTATAAAGCGGTGAGCAGATCCAACAATGTAGCTCAACACTGCAACAAACACCGCCAACACAGATCTTTGTCTCTTTATACTTGTCAATATGGAGTATGTTAACAGTGAAGTCAACATTACCCTCTGATCTGTGCTGTTTCATCAGAATCTGTACCAAAGACAGGACAAAAACATACTAACAAAGACACAGGAAGTGTTGCCCACATCCTGTTATTTAAAATCTCCCCAAGACAGCGTTTAAAAATATCTGTCTTACCTTTTCAAAGAAAAAAAATCCATGCAAACATAGCATAGTACACTTTTATACCATAGACAGCAAGCAGCTTTGCATTTCTGTGAAATGCTAACATTAGCATGCTCAAAAAAAAGACTTTAAATACTATCAACAGCTTACAACAAAAGTACCAACATGTAGCAACAGGTTCCAGTGTTTACTGTTTTTTTGTGGTGGTTTAGCATGAATTTGCTAACTAGCAAGGCTGATGAGGCTAATAGGAGTATTCTTAGCTTTGCAGGTATTGTTTATAAAGTGAAGCTTCAGACAAATTCAAACTCTGTCCTGACATAGGTGTTTAAAAAAAAGTTAACAGATGGCAAACATATTATAGTAAAAGTGGTGAAAAATGGTTAACTCAATACCTGCTAAACATTGTGAGCATCTTAGCATGCTAGCTTTAGTATTTAGTCAAAAGCATTGTTTCACACAGCAACATTTTTCCCCCATGTGCAAGTTTAGGTTTAGTTGTGTTCAAAAACACACACGTGTAAAACATTTTGAATGTTTTCAACAAAAAATTAAAATAGAAAAAGAAAACAGATACATTTCTCAGTAGAAATATAACAATTATAACAAAATACATAGATTTGTTACGTGGACTCTCGCCTCATAAATTTAAGTTTGCAAAACACAGCGTGATGAAATCTTCTCATTTTCCTTTGTGTGAAATTTGTTCCACAACTGGAGTTTAAAAAAAAAATCACAGTTTGATTGTATTTGATGGATCTAGAGTGAGGTGTGTTTCCCTTTGAGTGACTCAAACCTCAAAGCATCTCAACTGAAGGCATGTTACACACCCCATGACCATCATGATTAGCTTTTCCTGCGAGACAATAGACTTTAATTTTTATCCCTGACAACATAATGTTTCATTTTTAGCATCATAAGTTACCAAGGGAACAACGATCCACCTTCACCAGGCAAACAAAGTGTTCTTGTGTTTTTTTTTTTTCATCTCACAAGATGTTTGAAGAACAAAAGCTTGTATGAGGTGTGGTCTGCTCGTAGTCGGGTGTGGTGTCCTGACTCAACAAGGGTCTTTGTATGCAGCTTCTGTGCCTTGTTTAGGGGGGGGGGGGGTTGTTGGCAGGACTTTGGCACCCCTCCTCCCCACAAACCCCCAGGATTGAAAAAAAATAAAAATAGATCAAGCTCCTCCTGCCCTGTAGAGAGGTCCTGTCACGTCTCATAGAGTGTACCCTTTTGAGGAGGCAGCATCAGTGGGGCAGGGCATAATATGGAGCTGTCACTGTGGCCTTCTGGGAGGTGCACGTTCCTCTGGGTGGCCTTTCCCTCTCTCGCTGCCTCAAGGGGGCATAAGGGGTAGAGAAGGAAGGGGGGGGGTGGGTCAGGGGCAAAGGGGATGGGGAGGTTCGGGCATTGGGGATGGTTATGATGGTGGTTGGTTGGTTGTGGGCCGGTGGGGGTGCTCCCCCCCCCGCTGCCTCTCCATGGTCACGTGAAGGTCGCATTTTACAGGGAAACGCCAGAGGGGGTGAGGAGGGGATGGTGGCATCGCAGCGGAGACAAACAGAAGAGGAAGAATAAAGAGAGGTGGAGACGTGAGTCAGCTGCACCTGAGAGAGGGATGGGAGAGGAGGGATAAAGACGACAAAAATCACTCTGGTGTTTGGAAATCAAAACAAATAAATAGAGTTGTTTGGTATCAGCCGGTACAGCACAAAAAGGGGTATCAGGCATCAACGATTATGTCAGTCAATGCCCGGATCCAACACTTGAATCACTAAGCCCGTAAGAAATAAAAATAGACTGGTTGCAGCAGGTAAATTATCACTGATCATAACAACATGGCACTGTAACACATCAGCCCCTTTCACACATGCACTGCAGAAAATGTCTAGAAGATTTCAGCACAGCCTCTCCTGACTTCTTTAAAGTTGCCCTTTAGTGAATTTTCTTGTCAACTGGGGGGGGGGGAGCAAAAAGGATGCTGCTGAAGTCACAATGTGATATTTACCATACAACATATCCAAGATGGAGTCCACAGTTTGATGTCAGTTTTTTTCCCTTCATATCAGTGATACACATACATGACATATGTGTAGCATATTCACGGTATAAACGACAGTGTGGAGAAGAACATACTGGAGAGCAAGAAAGAGGACGTAGCAGTTTCATTACATGCATCAAGATAACGTTTCTCCGGATAGTTTGAAGGGTGGTGCATGTGCGAAGGGAGCTAATGACTCTCAGCCAGCCCAGACACTTTAAAAAGTTAATTAATAATACATACGTCAACAGATCTGAGTCCATGCATTCATATACATATCTAAAATAGTTTTGGAACAATTAACAGCCTGGTAAACCTTAACACTGAATATTGTAAAAGAGGTTTTTTTTTTTTAAAGTACAACACTCAAGTTAAGGTATTAGAAGTTGTATTGGTGAGAAGCAAAGGGAATCTGAACATCTCTAGAAATATTTGTAGGGTTTCATCTGGAATTAGGCCATCTGAAGGCTTAAAAGAGCACCTACAGGGAGGATACCTCCTCATGTCACATCGAGATAACACATGACCACTGACCCAAAAACACCTGCACCAAGTTTGGCTCCAGCCCCAGCCTGAGCCAAATCTTCTGCTTTTTTCTTTTTCCTTTTTTTACATTTTTTTTTTTCCACCGTTGCCATAACCCGGTCTCCTCTGCTCTCTCCCTCGGCACAGATAGCAGAGACCTACGCCTTCCTGCCCAGAGAGGCGGTGACTCGCTTCCTAATGAGCTGCGGAGAGTGTCAGAAGAGGATGCACATCAACCCCAGCACAGCCGAGTTCAAAGGTAAAACCACACACATACGACCTGTGGATGTCTCGCTTATTCTGGAGGCATCATTAATTGATGCGCCATTTTTGAGTTTAACCTTTAAAGTGTTCAGATCCTTCTGGCTTAGGAGAGGGTTAATTATTGTGTTGAAATGCATGCTGAGATGGTTAAAAGCAACCTGGACTGTTGCTTTTTTTCTGGAGTAATTATTGGATTTTCAGGAATAATTTCATCATAAGATTTATGAAGATGTTTCACAGAGGTGTTGTTGTTGGATTCTTGATGTCAAAAACAGTTTCACACTCACTATGAGCAAAAGTGAACTTAGGTGTTTGTACTTTGGAGTTTTTGAATCGAACCCTCATAAATAAAACATCCTGTATGTATCCATCACCGGCATGATGTAACAAAGACTCAAGAGGACCACATCTCTGGGATTCTACAGAAATGATCACAGGCTCCCTCTTGTGGTCAGTTTTGGTACTGCAGTCAGCTCTTAGCCACATTGTTTTATTTGAGGTGCTTCATACAGTCAACGCTTCTGCCTGGATTTCAAACTTTGGTAGGATATTTCACCACATAAAAACTACTTCCAGAACAGTTTTACAAAGGCATTCAGTGAAGAGAATCCACTAAAATCTATTATGTTGGATTTGTATTTACTGATGTACTTTCTAGCTTGAGTTGTACTCTTGAAACAGGTGCTATTGAGGTTTTCAAACTGAGGTTGCTGGACAGGTTAAAGCTGCTGCTCTTAAAACAACTGTATTTGATTTGATGTAATTAAAATACAAATGGCATCACTTATAGCTTCTTAACCCAGTCATATGAAAACCCACAGGCATGATACAAATATCTTCTGGGTCTTTATGGCTCACACTTTTCTTGTATTTTTTTCATAATGACATCTAATAATTCCACTTGAAAATATCACAAAAATATATCTAAATTTGCCTGAAAAGTAAGAAAATAAATTCTCCTTGCCTATAAACTCCAGTATGTGTCCATTGATACATTTCAAACATTAACGGGTACTCAAGATGTGTGTTAACATGTATCTGTTAACTTTTTATCACTTATTATTATTTGACAAATTCAAAATAATGTTGTCATTCTTCAAAATTTAGATTAAGGGATAGGCTACAATGTTCTTCAAGAATCAAAGTTGAAATGTCTCATATTTTAGTATAACCAGTATTATTATAAAATAATTTGTATATGTGAAAGTTTGGTGGTAATACTCAAAGGAAGTATAAGTACCAAATAATCGACCTACTTTTATTTTACTTGGTGTGAATCATCATTATTGAAGCATTTATATCTATTTTGTAATTGTTTTGTTGTTGTTTTTTTCTTCCCATGTCAGAAAATGACCGGCCCACCTCTCTGGTCCCGGACCTCATTGATTACAACATGCCTCTGACTGCCACCTACTTGAAGCAGATGAAACTGCAGTGCATGACGGCCACTGAGAGGGTGAGTGTCTCTTTACTGCTTGTGCACCATGACTGTTTGTGAATCAAAGCTGGAGGATAGATACAAACGGTCCTAATGGACTAATGAGAAAATCAGCTGTTGAGATCTCTTATTATTTAACTACAATTATAAACCTTTTGGCTGAACACAAATCCTCTGTTTATTTCATTTTCTTCTTTCTTTGAGGCTTTAGGAAAAACCTTAGGGCAGGCAGAATAAGACGTCCCTCCTTTAACTTTTAACAATCCCAGTCGTGTTTGGAGGAGGGGCTCTGTGTGAAATGAGGATTAGTAAATCCTCTGTGCACGCTGACGTCACTTATAGACCCCTCCCATGTGTGGCTGTGACAGAAACACTCAGGAAGCACTGTCACTAAAGTGCAGGGAGCGCTCCTTGATGATGATAATGTCGACCTCACTCGCACATAATTAGGATTATCTGGAACAATGACCCGGGGTCTGATTTACGGGTGAGTACAAATTAACAAATGCTCAGAGTGTTTGTCGCGTCTGTGTGCAGACTGAGAATGAGCAGGAGCCATTATTTAATTATTAACCATCACAGAGGGTTGTTAAACTGTTGTAGGACATTTGTAGAGATTTGTTACAGGATATCTACTGCACCGGTTTAGAGAACGGTCAAAATCAGCAGATTAGGTCGGTTTGTTTTAAAAGCAGATCAGAGTTTTAGAATGAGTATCCGGTCTGTTGCAGCAGCTGTTTACATGCTGCCTGCATGAGTTTGCTGCTACTCACTCTACAAGCTATCTATCTCTTTGGCTTTAGAGAAAAACTTCATATATGGGGTGATGAAAACAAGCCTGAGATCCACCCCATTCAATGTTTTTTAATTTCTTTTTGCTCCTAAGTTTGGTCACTTGGATTGCATTTAAAAAAGAACCAACACTTATAAAGCTCATGAAGTCGGCAAATATTAAAAACATCCTGCACGAACTCAGACTGTCTGTACTAGTTGAGAATTAATCTAAATTTATTTTGATTTGTCCCTTTTATGATGAGTTAATTTAACATTTGCTAAATTAAATGTACGTTCACAATCCTGAAACGTTGTGGAGCACTGATGATGAGTTGTTTAACTTTCAGTGCTTGTAAAGCCGGACACTTTTGTCTAGCTTGGAGGAAATGTCAGGATGCTTTGTTTTGATCGCATTATTATTGGTCAGTGTCTACTTTTGGTTTGTGGCCTCTTTGTATAGTGTCTTGTAAGACTGTTTTGGGCTTACAAATCGATCAAATATAGGACTGCAACTTCTGTTTGTGCTCTTTAAATGACCAGAATCACTAAATGTTACAATGTTTTGTCACATAAATGACCCAAAAAAGTTAAAAAGATGATTTAAAAAGTCGAGTGTTTTTGTTGTTCAGTAGCTCTTTACAAACATACCTCCATTCTTTGGGATGTTAATAATACTTTAGATTATGTTTTAAGTTGTCTGAACTGATGGGACAATAAAGTTGATTTAATTTGAACCCTTAAACACCTGAAGACGGACACTAAGTGTTTGAACTAAATGTTTGGTGACCTCTTATAAACATTTTTTTTAAAGAAAGAAACGTTTTAAAGAAATTCTTTTCTTTATCATTATTGATGCTACATTTCCAACTACTTAGAAACTGTATTTAGAGACTCTCCCTCCCTCTCTCTCTCTCTCTCTCTCTCTCTCTCTTCAATGCTCCATCGCTCACTTGGTACCTAATGGAGCTGTCACTGAGCATTTTGGTCCTCCTCAAAACCCCTCTTGCAGAGGGACGGACATATTCCCAGGAGTTTAGGCCTATTTGTGTGCTCGTGTGGGGGGAATGATGAGATGACAAGATGTATTTCTGCTCTGTTTCCACCACACACTCATAGTTTTTGCCCCCCTTCTGCCAGCTGACACACGACGACGTGCACGCAGGCCAAATGGAGGCGCCTCTTTATGTTAGCATGATTTCAAATGGCCTGTTGGTCTGAAATGTGTTCACGGGCCTTTCAGCGGATGATGTAATGTCTATAGTTTGAAGCCAAAGCTCTTTGAATAGTTTGTGAGATTATTCTGTTTCTCTGTTGCTAATCCTTACCCCCGTGGTTTACTCACACTGGTGTTACGCTACAACAAGCATCTTTAGGGCCTCTACGTAACACAGCTAAAAATAGCAACGCTTTAAGAAACATATTACTGAGCAGGGAGGCTCCTCCGCTTGTTTTCTTCTTTTTTTTCCCCTCCCAGACTTCAGAAGAGTTGAAGTGTAATTTCACTCATTAAGGAATAAAGATATAGAGTGTGTTTTGGTTTTGTGTCCTGTCTAAAACTGCTTCTAAGAGTCAAAACTATTTCAGTGTTTCTTTGGTGCAAAAATATTGTCTTAAATTAATTCAGCTCAAGCTAAACGGAGACTTGTGGAAATAGTTCTCCACTGTAGCATACAAAGGAAAGACTTTCTTTTGGAGCATGAAGAGGGAATTCCCTGCTAAAATCATTATAACTTTGGAAAGTGACTGCTTGGTGTTTTTAATTATTTTGTACGGATTTGTCTCCTTGCACTCGCATTGGCAGCGGTTTAAAAAAAGAACAATGACAGCTAAAAATGTGGCTTTCCATGTATAGTAGGGAAGTCTGAAGCTGGCACATAAACACGGTCTCTTCTTTTCCTTCTCCGTGTCCGTATCTCTTTGTTATAAAGTAAACTTTGATGTTGCTTTCCCTTTCGGCTCCCCTCAGGATGACAGTTCGATGAGCAGCGAGGACATGAACAGCGCTGAGCCCACATGGGTCGCAGCTGAGCAGCCCCCAGTGCCTGAGCCCAGCCCACCTAACGGGGAGAGAGTCAGCAACCCGGCAGCCAGCGTGAAAGAAGAGGACGGTAAGACATCACAGCCGTGTGGTTATCGTAGTTCTTGTGTTGTTTATGTTTTGGTTCTTGAACGTACGCGCTTTACAGAGGACAGCAGCAGTTCAGCGTTACACAGGAAACAGCTTGCTTCGTTCTTAGTGAACTAATCCAAATAAATCCACTCTTACAGGGGGTGGACACGCTGCCGCAGCCCCAATCCACAGTGCACCCCTCTCTCTCTGGGTGCAGGCTTAGTGAAGTAGGACAAAGGCCGATGTTAACCTACACAGATTATGTAGCACTTTAGAAAAATGTCGTATATCTGTTATTATCAACCGAGAGGGGCAAATCGGAGTTTTCCAGGTGTGCACAGAAAACGTGCAGGAATAGGAAGAGCCGGCACATGGCCACAAACGTGGTTATAAAATGTGTGTGTAAACTGTGAGCTTTGTAGTGTGCTGTCCTGTGAGGTGTTAGAAGCCGCCTGAGGACTGTGGAGGAAATTAAGCGATAGTGGACATTCTGGCATATTTACACGGAGCCCTGTTGTTGATATGTTGACTGATGATTACTGCCCTCGTTCAATAAGTTCAATACATATATACATAAGTGGCCCTTCCCCCACTAGTCTCTCCTCATCCTCATCTCTTCCTCTTTGCTAATAAACTCCCCAGATTCCTCCTTCTGCCCTAACTTTCATTTATCCTGACAGTTGACCCGAATACCCAACATGAGACAGGAAGTCCCACCCCCCTGAGCTCCAACATCCCCTCTTTAGTAGTAAACAAACTCACATTAATGCTGAATCTCATCTCTGTATCTGCTTCTTCACCCTCTCCTCCTCCTCCTCTCCTCCTCCTCCTCGTCCCAGATGACGACTCCTCAGAGAGCGGCAGTGCCAACGGGCTGCCGGCCCTGACCTCCCCGGAGGTGCTGGCTGTGGGTGGGAACCCCCCAGATGGTGGGGCCCCTTACGGGGAGGTGACAGAGAACGGGCTCAGCGCTCCCCTGGACTTCAGCACCACCTCGCCCTCGTCCTCCTCAGAGGATCAGCAGCCGGTCAATCTGAGCGACAGACTGCAGCCCGCAGGAAGCTCGCCGACGAACTCGTACCCGGCGGAAGCCAATCGGAAGTACCCCGTCAAAACAGAGTTCGCCAACAAGGTAGGAATAGACTGAAATACCCAAAAATATTTGTTTCTTATGAAGTTACAATGTTGTCTTTCTCAATAATCAGTTAAGAAATGAAGCCTGCACAATGTGTAATGAAGACGTTTTTGTGTTTCTGTGTCTTTAGTCCCCTCCGTACAGCTCAGGAAGCTATGACTCTGTGAAAACTGAACTGAGCATGAGCGCTGAGGACTTGACCTCTGGTCGGGCACAGATAATCGACGACGACGATGACGATCATGACGACCACGATGACAGTGACAAGATCAATGACGCTGAGGGGATGGACCCCGAGAGACTTAAAGCCTTCAATGTAAGTAACCTGTCTGACTGATGCCGTATCATTACATTCACATCGAGAGAATCCAATGCAGGCCAGGACGGGAGGAGTGCTGTTATTATTCAGAGATATTTCACTTTCACTTAAATTCTCATATCAAAAGCCAACAAAGGCAAGAACTCAATCATCTCTGTTCATCATATGGAAACCACAGTCTGTGTGATTCTGATTTGAATGGAAATGAATAAAACGGGAGAGTTGCAAAAATGCAAACACGAGTGAATAAGCAAACTGAAAAAATATTGTCCTGCATGTGAGCAATGACTCTATTTCCAATCTCCTGTTTCTATCTCCTCCCCCTCCCTCTTTATCTCCCCCACTCTTCCTCTAATGCTCCCCCATCCTTTGCCTCCCCTTCCCTTCCCTCTCTTTTGTTTTCGCCTCTCACACCCCTCTCCCTCTCCACACTCCGCACCCCCTCTTAATTTTTCTGCTCTACATCCCCTCTCTCCCCTCCCCCTCTGCCTGTCTCTGTCAGATGTTTGTGCGTCTGTTCGTGGATGAGAATCTGGACCGCATGGTGCCCATCTCCAAACAGCCCAAGGAGAAGATCCAGGCCATCATCGAGTCCTGTAGCCGCCAGTTCCCTGAGTTCCAGGAGCGCTCCCGCAAGCGCATCCGCACCTACCTCAAATCCTGCCGCCGCATGAAAAAAGGCGGTATTGAGGTACAAAGTGCCCCAATTTAAGATTAAGTCATTAATAAAAAAAAAAAAAAAATGTTTCAGAATCATAATGTGCAAAAACTCTCGCTTCCCCCTCGGCCAGATACGACCCACACCTCCTCACCTCACCTCTGCCATGGCTGAGAACATCCTCGCTGCTGCCTGCGAGAGCGAAACCAGAAACGCTGCCAAGAGGATGCGGCTTGATGTCTACCCAGCGACGGTAAATAGTTTGGCAGATGATGCTTTGGAATTTGCCCAGCACGGATTCAGGAATCTGCTTATAACGCTACGCATCATTAACACCAAACTGCACAACATAAACTAGAATACCCCCCCCACCCCCCAAACTGAAAACATTTCATTTCCTGTAGGATGAGCCCTCGTCTGTTGACAAGCCCAACGGGAGGGACCCGGCCCCCGTGGCTCCGTCAGCGTTCTCCATCTCCAGCGCAGCTTTTGCCCAAGACCAGCTCTACACCAACGGAGGCCTCAACTACAACCTGCGAGGGTATGGGACAGTCGGCAGCAACCAGCAGAACTCTGGTGCTGCACAAACTAACGGTGAGGAGCTTGACCTAATCTGGAGCCACAAGCAAGACCAAATATGTTTAGTCAAATATCCCAACAACGATAAGACGGATATGTTTGTGCAGCTATTCCCATTGTCCACTAGCCGGGTTTAAAAACATACACTTTGAAAAACGAAACGCATCAGTCTCTCCCCTACGCTGAATTTACGCAAAACCAACAACAAGAGCATGCTAAAATGCTGAACTTAGAATTTAGAGGGTTGACATTACCTTAACTTCTAAAACCCAATGTACTGTATTTCCAGCGATATTATGAACGTGTTAGCATGCTCACAGCATTTTGTATCTGCATCTCAATGTGGCATTATTTTGTCTGAGAAGAGCCTTAAGAAACCAAAAGAGGAACTAAAGGACATAAGTTTCATTTTTTTTGTCATTTGTGTTAGTAGCAGAGAGCACTCCCGTGATTCCCCGCTAGCCTCGACGTCATCTTTTGTTATTGAAATATTGATATTGAGAGCCCCCTGGCGGCAGAATCTACATATTCTATCTTTAATGGCTGATCTGCAAAAATAAGCATTCAGGGATCTCTTTTTTTGTTAGATTTTAAAATCCTCTTTGATTCTTATCTAAAAAAACGTTCTGCCAGTTGACGTGTTTTTGCCCAGAAATAGTTTAATATGTGGCATAAAGAAATGTACAGATTAAGCACATTTTATCATTATTTTGTGCACTCCTGATGTTTCCTTTCCTTTCCCTAATGTACATATTTCTTCACAATTGTGTCCGCAGGTCCCACAGATCTGAGTATGAAGTCCGTTGTTCCCAACTCCACCTCCGCCAGCTCCAACAGTCACGGTCAGGGCGGCGGCGGTGGAGGAGCTTCGGCTCAGCTCAGCCCGCCCGAGGTCACAGCGGTGAGGCAGCTCATCGCCGGATACCGGGAGTCAGCCGCCTTCCTGCTCCGCTCTGCAGACGAGCTGGAAAACCTGATCCTGCAGCAGAACTGAGCCCTAAAGCCTGATAATCATCTCTCCGTCACACATTTGGGGGCCGACTTGCATTCAAAGACACAAAAAGAACACGAGTGATACTGCAGTGCACTGTGGGTCCTTTAGGTATGATACCTTTACTTATTCCCACATGTATATGTATTCTGACGGGCAAGAACGTGTCCCAGGCTGTTTCTTTATGCATTCGGTTCACTTTGACCTTAGTGCCCTGTTATCCGTAGCCATTCATTCACCATTCAGTTCATCTTAACACCTCAACCTCCATTCGTCTCAGGAAGTGATGATAAATGTGAAAAAAAAAGTGATCTGCATCGATACGCAGGGGAGTTTCAGAGGTGTTCGCTGTGACTAAAACACCAGATTTGGCTCATTTGTGTAGATCTTTTGGATAAATTAAGAGTCAAAAAGCAGCAGGCCTTTCTTATCTCCTTGTTCTTACTTTTTTTTTTAACGATGTAAAATATGCTGTACAGTGGCACAATCTGATTGGCTCCTTTCTCCAAATTAACTTCTGCTTCATGGAAAACCTGGAGCGTTGTTTTCTGACAGCCCCATCGATGAATCGCTGCTAAATCCACTGACCTGTTCACCTCAAAAAGATACCGAAGGATGTAGAAAATCAAATCCATGAGAGAGAACAAAAGATAAACAGGACAACACTGAACAGTTTTCACCTGTAAATTCTTACAAAGAAATCAATTGATGTGGTCAAAACTTTACCTCGGCCCTGCTCTGTTGGAGTGGTTTCCAGATTGTTTTGGCATGAGGTGATGAAGAGGCACAGACTCATTATCCTACGTGAGTTTATTTTCAGTTTAATTGATATGACTAATTCTATCACAGATAATTAGTTTTGACTCCAAATGGAAAGGAGGCTTTACAGAAGCATGGGTATGCAAATTGAGGTTGCAGGCATCTGTCAGGGAAACAAAGGAGATTAATGTATTGTTTAGACTCTTGGTTTTTATAACCAATGCGACTGGAAAAGCAGAGAAAGGTGCAATATCAAAGATAATCAGTAAAGGTGGTCTTACTGAGAAGGCTTTGTCTCACTCGCTCAACAGTTTGAGGCAAAAATGGAAGGAGTCGTTGACAAGAATCTCCTCGCAAGTTGTTAAAGGAGAACCGATATCCCATGCAGCATTGTAGCCGATATCAATGTTGTTTGTTGTGATCCTTATCGATAACCTCATAACTGGGGCACTTTCATGTATTTGGGATTAGCAGTGATTAAAAAAAAAAAAAGAAAAATGGAAAAATGGGACCTGGCAGAAAAATGAGACTTAATGTTGCACGTCTGATTTTGAAGTCATTTTGTGAAGTTCTGTGAGTGTTTCTGAGTGAAAACGAGCTCACGTGCATCCATTAGTGACGGTCAAACGGTATCAGCTTAACGTACACACGGCTTTACTGGATGCGGCGAGTGTGTATGGGCTGCTCAGACAGTTAAAAAAAAACGAAAAAAACACTCCCATCATCAAGCCGTCTGGCGGTGTGTATCATCCTCTCTGACCTCAGCACCCTCTCTCTCTCATCTCCACTCATCGATATCACGTCTGAAAAACACACTGTTTGAAAAGAAGCAAGAGACAATCTTTGAAAAGATGTTATCGCATCACAGTTTACTCTCCCAGCTTTCTGCTCTGCTGTGCGTGTGTGTGTGTGTGTGTAAGTGTGTGTAAGTGTGCGTAAATGTGAGTGTGTGTGTGTGTGGTCTAAGGGCACAACAGAGCACTCAAAGCAGATCTAGAGCACAGTCTCACAACAGACACTTTTAACAGTGAGTCACTCGGCACAAAAAACAGTCATGTAAGTGTGTGTATGTGTGTGTGTGTGTGTGTGTGTTTTATTTAATTTTTTTGAGGTGATGTAAATGTTATTGACAGTGTGTAGATTTCTCTCGTGTGTATAAAAGTGGAGTGACCCAGTTTGTACGGCATCAATCTGTGAAGATTTTATGAATCCAGTCGGCTGAAACATTCCAAACACGGACGATGACTCTTCGAGGCAGCCTGAGAAGAGGCTCGCACCTTATCAATCCGTCAAGGTTTAGAGAAATATTTCTTTATTTATCACAAATCTATCAAAGTTATCGGTTATTTATCATAAATCAGCGTCATTCACCACCAACAGGCTGCTCTAGAGTTGGATTTCAAACTTTTAAAAAAAACCCTCATTTTTACATTTTATTTCCTATATCATATTGAGCTGCATTGCATTTACATTTGAATGACCTATTGCAAGTTTGGAAGCACTTTATAGCTCAGGATTAAGGTAACATAACACAGAGACTGGCGTGTGTCTTTACCTCATTTGGATGATGAGATTCAGTGTAAACATGTAAAGATCTTATAACAGGACAGTTAAAGAAGCAGCCCTCTGTCTGGTTTATTGATGATTTAAAAAAAAAAAACAAGCAGCTCTTGGTTTGGAGCTGAGTTTGAACTCATCAGTTTGTAAAGTGGGCGGTGTTTCATGAAGCAGGGCGTCGAGTGAAAAGCGTGAAGAACAAAAATGGATCTGCTTCGTAAAAGTTGGCTGATGTGAGCGGTCACGTTTTATATGACGACTTCGATCGTAAATTCAAAGTGAAGAAAACAGGCAAACTAAATGGTTTGCAGCCTCGAATCAAAACATATCAAATGCACCGTATGGAAAGCAAAACATCACAATAAAAAGGTACAAATCACTGCAGTAAAGACAGTAAAAGAGCTTTTGGCTGCACGGCGATATGTAAGGTGGGAGTTATTGTTTCTCATAACCTACAAAAGTTTATCATCTGAACCTGCAGCTAGCATCAGACTCACAGTTTATAGTGTGAGTCATCTCATTGTTAAGCTTTCTAATACTTTACTGTTTGGATTCACTTATTGAATGTTAAAAGTGTCCCTCTAAACCAACTGTCTGCCACCTGCTCAGCATCAGACAGCTGACAGATTAAGTTAGCAGCCAGCGCACTAGTGGAACATACAGCAGCCAAAGGGGGAGAGTTGGTAGAACACAACTCTGAAAAACAGAAACATTTTCTCCACAAGTGCTTGTTTAAAAAAGGAGCATCTTACACTGTGGTGTTAGTGTTGTGTTCACTACTTGTTTCTGCTGCCCCCTAGTGGCCACAAGACATCAGTTATTATCAGTTACTCAAAAATACAACAGCCAAAGCCTCTTTTTCTTGGAGCTGTTGGATATATTTCTGGATTTCTGTCCCTGTCTTCGGTGAAATTAAAAGAAAGAAAACATGGGGAAACATTTCTAAGTGAAGTTAAATCTAAAATCCAAAGTCAGTTCACCAGCTTTAATGTAGGCGCTGTGTATTTTAAAGCATATACATTGATTCAGATGTTGTGCAGGACAATTTTTAATGAAAAGTTAAGTTTTGAATATGAATTCTTTTTTTTTTTTGGCATGCAAAAATGTAATATTAAAACTTCAGCAGTAAAAACGAAGCTCCATTAGAACACCATGTTTGTGTCTTAAAAGTCGATTGTAACAATGTGAAGATGCAGCCTCCAAGCTAGTGAGAGCCGGCTCATTTGAACCTCCTTTATGAAACAGATCCTGACTTAGTCTTGGTTTCAAACGTTAGTCCTGCTCGATGAAACGCCCCTACGGGCTCAAACAGACGTAATCATAGATGTACGTGGGACCCGAGTCCTCATACATGTCTTCCTCGTGTTGTTTTCCTCACGTCGCGTCTAACTCAGTGATTTCATGTCCTCACACTTAGCTTGCAGATTTGTAAAACTGTCTTGAGTCGACGCTGAGCAACATTTTATAGCTGTTTGCTGGAGTAACTGTGATCAACGACGACCGTGTGTTGTCATGTTGTTGTTGTTTTCTTTTCTAATGATGCCCAATGGATTTTTCTCTTTGTATTGACTGGACAATGTAATCTATTGGTGTGGATTAAAAATGCCCTGGTAGCTTGTGGATTGCTAAAGTGGTCAGATAAATGTACTGTATAGCTGTACAAAGAGTGATAAAAGATGTTTTAAACTTTTCTTTTTTTCTGTGGGTACAGCACTGTTTAAAAAAATCAAAGTGGTTTTAGCCCTTGCCTGTTTTAACTTATCATTTGGTGGTGTTCTGTATTTCTTCGATTGTTATTTATATGATTTCAACTGTTGCCTCTCCTGCACTGATAAGAGACTGTAGCTCTGTGCAGGAGCTCGTACTGTAAACCTGTGTGAAGCTTTGTATTTCTCCCCTCTGGTTTTGGACTCAGTGAAAGTGTGATGTTTACATGTACAGTTTTTAAGAAGTTTACGTTTTATTCGGGCTATTTCTTTTTCCTCTCCTCAATCTGTGTACATTTGCCCAGATACTTTTCCTCTTTTTTTTTTTTTTTGTTGTTGTTGTTGTTGTTGTTGTTTCATTGCATCAGACGTGTGACCTCTTTGACTTCTTGGTCACAGGGTCCGAGTGTGCCGTGGTCGGCTCGGTGTTGTGGTGGCTTCCGATATTTTTAAAAACTTAAAATGTTAAAAATAAGGGAGCATCACAACTTCTCAAAGTGGACCAGCGAAGATTTATTAAGGATCAAGACGACTTTAATCAGCTGTTTTAGAAAACTATCGTGGCCTAAATGGAGATCGGTGGAGAGTAGGTACATTCATTCAACTACATGAAGTGCTCAGAATCTTTAAATTTCCCGACTTCTGTCAGGGAAAAACTCCTTGTCCTTAACCTGACTGGTACCCTGAAAAGGTACACTTTGACATGTTGTTAAATCTCCTCGGTATAACACAAAAGCCATTCCCCTCTCCTGGCCTTCTAAGGGGAACCCATAAACCTCAGGAAATACTGAATCTCCGAGTTTAGTTTTTATCCGCTGATTTCTTCTGAGATGAAACGAAAACCATTAACATTTATATGAGATGTCTATTGTTTTGTACATTGATCATTGTGATTTAAAAGTGGAGCTTTTTCCAGTACCTGTGACTTAATATCTTGATTTGACTTTTTTGGAGTGTTTATAGGTATGGATATTTATTATTATATGTGAAACTACAAAAAGACAAAAGAAAAAGGTTGAACCTGTTTCATTTGTATGTTTCATGCAAAACTGTCCAGGTGAGATTCTCTCTGCCTCTTACATATCACTTACGAGGGACCTGTGTTTGTTTGGAAAAAATAGCGCTTTTTCAGTGTTGCATCAACGCTATGAAGAAAAAAATCAACAAAAAACAAAACAACAACAGTGGGTTACCAACAACAGAGCTGCACAGCTCTCCTCTTCTCCTGAGATGTCAGTAATTGAATAAAAATAGTGCGATGAGCTATCTTACTGAGATCTCTGCGTGGTTTCCTTTTGTTCAATTAAATTTCTGCAAACACACACAGACACACACACACACACACACACACGTGGCAAGGGTTCACAAAAGTTTCAGCTCACTCCTTGCTAAGGCGTATAACATAGCCCAAAGACAAGCACACGCAAACACCTCTAACTCAAAAGAGAAACCTACTTTGTTTATCCTGATATAATGAACTGCTATAAAGAATACAACCAAAAAGTTATTTATATAGTAATGTATTGTAAGAAAGGCTAGAAGCAGAATACAAGTAATTCCCATGAATAGACTTTATCACTGAGTGGGCCTACAAACTAAATAAACAGACACACAGGTGTGTGCGTCATGTGTTAAGAGCAGCAGACACACACATACGCTGCTGTCATGTACAAACTTACATTGGAAGTATTTTTACACTTTAATTAAATTTACTTTTCATTTAATGATGCAGTTTTTTATTGAACTATTTTTCTGTATATCTTTTGGATGAATTAGTAAAACTTAGATTTCATTTTATCTATATTAGGTTTTTTTTGGAAGGCATCTCATAACCTTTGCTTGGTGGCTCAAGACCCCCCGGGGGGTCCCGACCCCCACTTTGGAAATCACTGGTTTAGCACATGTATTTAATATTTTATGTTTTGAACCGACACTTTCTGTCTACTAGAGGGCAGCAGAGAATTATACAGGGATGATGTGGCGCAGACATCTATTTTACACACACACACACGCACACGCACACACAGACACGCACACACACACACGCACACACTCACACACGCACACACTCACACGCACACACTCACACACGCACACACACACACACACACACACACACACACACACACACACACACACACACACACACACACACACACACACACACACACAGTGTTGTGTTTCCATGACCTATTAGGGCATTACTTTAATTCACCTTCAAAGTGTTTCATGTACCCACAGTGTCTCCCCACAGTGGGTCCCCATAACAAGAGAAACACATTGTCTACACACAAACACAAACAAGCATAAAACTCAAAACATTTACTGATTAACAATAAAGGTTTATTGGGTGAAAAGTTTAAACTAATTAGCAAACTTAGCTCAGCTCATTAGCATGCTAATCTTGTTCATTAGCATCAAGGTGCAGGTGGGAAATCTATGCTAAGATGCCTTCTTTTGAGTACTATTTTTAAAATATTTTTAATTAACTAAAAGTAAGTGTTGTGAAAGTCTTCTAGAATAATACTTCTGTTAAGCTTCTGAAATGTTTAGGTAATGTCCTTTAATGTCCTGGTGTCAGTTTACTCAATAGAATTATTAACAGGTGCGCACTTTAAAGTGATGGATGAAATGTTTAGTCAAGTGAAACACAAGAGAACATAATATAGCAAGTACAGCCTCTGCTACATATTCACATCCATACAAATATACAAAACAGAAGTATAGTGAAGAGACTCTGAACTGACTTTTCCAAATTTTAAAATGTTCTTCTTGAGATCTGCATCTATATTTTAAGCCAAGCTTTTAATGTAATTTAAGAATGACTAGTGGATTTCTTGATAATTGTATTGAACTGTAACTGAATCTAAGAAGTATCTTTGTCTCTTTTTATCCTTTTAGTTTTTTACACTTTGTTTGCATGTACAAGAAAATATTTTGTTTTAAAAATCCTTCATACATCAACAGGATGTGTAAAAAACGTTACAGAAAGACAAAGAAGGAGGACTGTCGATAATATATTTACATAAAGGACCTTTACAAGAAACAAGGAAATCCTGTCAGCGATCTGAATGCTCTAATTAGACTCAAGTCTCGAACAATTTTAAACTGCCCAACATACTTGAACACATTCCCTTTCAGAGAGTGAACAACTCCACAGGAAAGAACATCTGATGCTTATAAAAGGTTTTTAATGTTGTAATCATGAACTGAAACATTTCTTGAAGAAAGGTTTACGGATCACTAGAGTTTTGATAATCCATCCTGATGTGGACATGGATATCTGAAAAATCATGGCAATCCAGCCAATATAGAAACAGTTCCCTTTACATTTAAATGTAACGTTTAGAACAACACAAGAGGCAGTCAGGGTTTCATTGAGTCTCGACCAAAGTGGAGGACAAACCTGACAAACCACATACCCAGAAAACAATCACGTCTGCACAAGTTCTGAGAAGGATATATAATTTCATTTTTTCCGTACTGCTGTCAGGTTTATTGTTCTCGCTGTGGTTAGCTGAAATTTAAAGATACATTTTCTGGATAGCGTTAACAGAAACCTGAAGCCTCATTGAAGTTCTGACGGGTGACCTTAGATATTCTTCTCTAGTTTTCCAGTCACGTCTCGCCTCATCCAGCGTGACCTAATTTCACATGGTTTACGATTTCAGGCTGAAAGTGGAGTGTAGATGTTGGCAGATCTTTTGGCTCGTGTAGATGTGGGAAGACGTACAGCTAGCGTCACAAACACGACTCTCATGAGAAAAAGTTACACTGTGTTCCATCAGACCAAAGTCAACATTTTCACACATTCACACAACAAAAATGCAGTCAATAATAAATAATATTCTTTTTATGAATTAATTTGCCTCTTGCATGAAATGTGTGTTGAAATAGGCCTACAGTGTATTTTAACGTCTGCCATAATGGTGGTACTTGGAGAGCCAAATATTTTCGGAGGTGGTACGCAGTCTAAAAAGTTTGAGAACCACTGGTCTATATAATAACCACTAAAACACTGAGAGATGTTATTGATGATACTTAAGTAGTAATAAGTACCTTAAAATGTAGCCTTGGTGCACTACTCAGGCATTGGTATAATAAGGCTTTTGTACACAGGCCTTGTTTTTGGTAACAGAGTGGAAAATCAGAGAAAAAAAAGAGGTCACATGACATGAATGTTGTGACTGACTATGTCCCAGTTTCTAGAATAAATATTCTTCACACATTTATACATCGATCTAGTTTATGATGACTGCCCCAACCTCTTTTTCATATTCAGTTAGACTCAATTCTCCAACGGAGTATCATTAAATAAAGTCATAGTAGTACTTAAACGGGGACTTTTAATATTTGTGATAACCTCACCAGTAAAAGGTTTAAGATATGAATCATTTAAAGGAAAATCTTCAGAGGGTAATTTTGTAAAAACCCCAAGCTTGATCCATAAAGTCCAAAAACATGTGTCCTGCAAAGAAAATTGATCATGGCGTGACTTTGTCCATGTGCAACTTTTCATGTTGACACTGAAAGTCCTTCGGGGACACGTGGACTCAGACAAGCTCAGTTGTTCACGCCGTCTGCTCGTGCTGCTGATCAAATATAGACCTAAAACAGGGCGACAGCTGAGACCCTGCAGACAGCCTGGACCCTTTACCTGCGTAGACAAACTTATAAATGATACGACCTCTGTGCCTGCCAGTACTGAGAATCAGAGCTATAACTCCTCTCCTCTGACCTGTGCTATATGAACTTGTAGGTTTTGTTGGAGTTTTTGGCAGCTCTTACTCTGACTCATTGGCGGCATGCCTTTGCCCCAGATTCTCTCTGTGTGAACATGCCAAAATTTTCCTCTGACTATACGCACTTAAAGCAGATCAAAGTTTAAAAAACAAAAACTCATCCAAGTGTGTCAGTGATTCATCATTGAGAAATATCAATCAAGATAGAACTACTTTCCTAATATCTTACTGACCAAAAGTCCAAACAAACAAATTCTGAATGACCATACTTGAACTAATCATTGTTTTCATGATGGATTAATGTGCCTGTTATTTATCTTTTAGTGTTAATTGTTGGTCTCTTAAATTAAATCCATTACGTTTATGCTAATCCCCCATGTTTTTTCTAGTTTTGTTTGGACAACATTCAACAAATACGTTGCCTACAATATCCAAAATGCATCTTGTGTTAGTGTAGCCTTGAGCTTTTTGCCTCAGGCAGAGACCAGAAACAGGCTACAAAATTCTTTCTAGATCCATTCCCTCGGAATATTTTTATTTTCAAACTTGTACCGCTCAGACTCAACAAACTATGACACAAGTGACCTCACTCGAGGCATTTATCAGACTTCTGGCAGCACCCTCTTAAACCACAAAAATATGATTACAACTTTCATATTTACTATCAATTATGAACTAGTTCTCACCAGGAACTGTAAATATATTTGAATTTGGAAATATTTGTTTCCTTTAATCAATGTGTTGATGCCATTTTTAGTTTTTGTTTTATTAAATGTAGCTAGGCCCATACCTCTTTCAAACATGTCCCTCAAAGTGTGAAGTTTTCCCTGCAGGATGGGAGTGTGGGACATGACTTACAAAAAGACACTGAGGAAATCCAAGATTGCAGTAACCGAGACTGAACCTATAATGACAGTGTTTGCCTTTATGCTGCGTGTTATTGTATGTATCTACAGTATCAGCTAAACCATGGAGAAAAATATAACAGCAAACAGAAAAAAATATGAAGCGGCTTCATAACATGCACGACACATTGGCTCACCCAGACCTCAAATTTTCAAAGGGTGCTGGCTGGGAGAGTCTGGGTAAAGTTGGGCTGAAATTTTGTCCAATTAAGTTCACACATGCAGGCAACCCCGGAGATTTTGGGACATTTTCAGGAATTTGGTGCCAGTGTGAAATCACCCCATGTTATATTCCCCTTTTAGTTCCAATCATATTTTGCCACATGTATAATTGAATCATCAGCAAACAGACAACACTTATGGATGATTTTCACTGATAGCAAAAACATCAATAACAATTGCAAACGTCAATGGTCCTAGACAGCTTCCTTGAGGTATTCCAGCAGTAGATCATATACTTAAAAATTGTCCATTGAAAAAGAAAGTCTGTTTCTGAATACATGCCAAGCCAAAAAGCCACAGATTTTTTTCAATCTTAACATTTCAATTAATCAAATAAAAATCATTGATCAATTAAAACAAACAAAGCACTAAATTCAAGTAGCACATATAGAGGTAGAGTAGTTACAG